TTTCTGGCCCAGCTCTGACCAGAGGCCCTGACCCTGCAGCTGCAGAGAAGTCAGAGAGGAAAGATGTCAGGCAAACAAGTCAAGGCAGAGTTCTTTATTTGGTATAAGCACACAGTGAGTACAATTGCCAATTTGTACAGCCTGTGGGCCAGGCTAGAAAGGCAAACACTGAATTGAAAATGGTGTTTATATATAAATAAATATATATATATATATATTTATATATATAAAGACTTTTTGGTGTGACCAAATTCTCACAATAATAACACCCCTCCCAGGAGCAAAAAATAGAGAAGGTATGTTGGGCCTTTACTGAAGTCCATAACAGGATTGGCCTTTAATGAGGTACATAACATGCAGAAGAAAGAGAATTTATTGCTTCTGAAAAATATCCAGTTTTCAGTTTCCTCATGGCATTCTTGAGCTCCTGATTCCTGAGGCTGTAGATGAAGGGGTTCAGTGATGGAGACACCACTGAGTACATAAGTGACACAATAAGATCCAGGGATGGGGAGGAGATGGAGGGGGGCCTCAGGTGGGCAAACATGATAGTGCTGAGGAACAGAGAGACCACAGCCAGGTGAGGGAGGCACGTGGAAAAGGCTTTGTGCTGTTCCTGCTGAGAGGGGATCCTCAGCACAGCCCTGAAGATCTGCACATAGGAGAAAACAATGAAAACAAAACAACCAAATGCTACACAGCAAATAACTACAATGAGCCCAATTTCCCTGAGGTAGCCTGAGTGTGAGCAGGACAGCTCGAGGATGTGTGGGATTTCACAGAAGAACTGGTCCAGGGCATTGCCCTGGCACAGGGGCAGGGAAAATGTATTGGCTGTGTGCAGCAGAGAATTGAGAAAGCCAGTGGCCCAGGCAGCTGCTGCCATGTGGGCACAAGCTCTGCTGCCCAGGAGGGTCCCGTAGTGCAGGGGTTTGCAGATGGCAATGTAGCGGTCGTAGCACATGATGGTGAGAAGGAAATACTCTGTTGACATGAAGAATAAAAGGAAAAAGAGCTGTGCAGCACATCCCATGTAGGAGATGGTTGTGGTGTTATGGAGGGAATTGTGCATGGCTTTGGGGACAGTGGTGCAGATGCAGCCCAGGTCTGTGAGGGAGAGGTTGAGCAGGAAGAAGCCCATGGGGGTGTGCAGGTGGTGGTCACAGGCTACGGTGCTGAGGATGAGGCCGTTGGCCAGGAGGGCAGCCAGGGAGATGCCCAGGAAGAGCCAGAAGTGCAGGAGCTGCAGCTCCCGCCTGTCTGCCAATGCCAGGAAGAGGAACTGGGGCATGGAGCTGCTGTTGGACATTTGCTGTTCCTTAGGACAGGGTCTGTTCAGAAAAGGAAAGCACAGGGAACAATTAAGACAGCCCCCTCTCAGCAAAGGCAAGTGCACTTTTCAGGGAAATCCCCTCCAGGTCAAGGCATTTCTTTTCTCTGGTTTGTGCTCTCTCAGGGTGCTGTGAGGAGCAGGAGCTCTGGCCATGTGCTGCCAAGGACTCAGCTTTGCTCTGCTGCAGTGCAGACATGGAGCTGGTTTGGGACAGCTCTCATGATCACAGGGGATGTCACATGGAACCCAGGTCTGATGGAAAAGTTCAATTCATGCACTGTTGTCTCAGAGCAATTTGGGCTGCAGGAGAAAGGCACAATGTATCCTTAAAATAATTTTGCCTGGGTGTTTTGGTTACAATCATAACACCTGGAGGTGTTTTCTTAGGGTCAAATTTTTCTGATGACAAATCTGAAGAGTATTGAGCCGGGACAGGCAGAAGGGCTGAGCTCTCCCTTGCTTATTGCAGAGCCAGGAGAGCTGCAGTGCCTCTCAGTCTGTTTCCCATCTGCCCTGCACTTTCCCTTGGGCTGCCTTGAAGAGGACTTCACACACAGATTCATCTTTTAAAACCCCACCAAGATCTGTGCTGAGAGCAGGGCAGCGCTGCTTGAAAGGGCAGCTCTGTGAAGTGTCCCCTGTGCCAGCTCAGAGGTGCAGCTGTGCTGGACAGAGCAGGACAGGAGCCCTCCCGCAGAGAAGCCAAGGGCTGGGACAGGAGAGTGCCCACCCCCAAGGGAAGGTTCAGCACTGCCCAGAATCCTGTGCTCATCTCTGATCCTGCCTGAAATATTCATCTCTGAGAGTAAAATGGTTTGAATTTCAGTGCAGCCTCCTGACCTGAGAGAACAATGTCTATGCTACAATGCCTAAGCAGCAAACACACCTCAGGACAAATTCCTTTCCTGTAGCCCCTGTCTTTTCTGAGCATTGCAAAACATTCTCCATTCAATATGGTGTAGTGGTCTGGAGCTGTGAGCAGGTCTGACCCTGCACCAGGGAGACATGGAAAAGATCCTCCCTGAGCTGCCAGGTTTGCTCCTTGCCCACAGCCCTTGTGCCCCAGCCCTGGGAGCAGCTCCCCGGGCCGGCTGAGAGCTGCCCCTGGCAGGCAGCAGAGTCCCTGCCCAGCACAGCGCCCTGGGCTGCAGGACCCTGCTCTGCCCCACAGCCCTGGGCACCCCTGGCTGCACCCCCGGCTTCACAGCTCTGCCAAACTGCCCCAAAACAGCCCCTGCTCACCCATCCCATCAGCTGGG